TTTTCTCTGGTGTTTTGTTTTTCTGTTTTTTGTTGTTCGTGCGTGCGCGGGGGGCGAGAGGGGTGGACATGGATCGAAGGGTGCAGGCCTCGGGGCTGCCGAGGAGCCTGGGAGGCAGAAGAACAGTCCTGCTGCGCCCGGGGGGGGGGGGCGTGGGGGGAGGGCAGGCCAGTCCTCTCCGGAACATGCCCGGGCAGTTGTTCGCTCTCTGTCTGGGCATCTCGCCCATCCTCGTCTCGCCCATCCTTTCCGCCCACCGGCTGTGATCCCCGGCTCGGCTCAGTCCAAGTCCGCCTTTATAAATAGGCTCCTGCTTGTCCTCCCCTTTCCACTGGGAGGCTGGGCCCATGGGGGGGCTCAGAATGACCCCAGCTGGAGGGACCGCTGGGCCCTCACCTGAAGTCTCCTCATCTCACTCCCCTTCCAGGTTACCGAAAATGTCATCCGAAGGGGCACGGCAACGGGTGAGTCTGCAAACGGGGAGCAAGGCGACTGCACTGCACCTTGAAGGGGGAGGAAGACATGTCAGGGGGCAGAATAATGGGCATGTTGTTTGGAGCGGGGTCCCTGCAGGGGAGCATGGGAATCGGAACCCCAGAGGGGCATGCAGCCCCCCACCCATTCTGCTGCCCTGGGCCCTTTGGTTTGCAGCAAGGGCCTCCGAGAAGCAGAGGAACCCAAGCCGGCAGTTGGGCGGCAGGCAGCCGGGCAGCCGGCCCTTGGCGCATCTCACTCTCAGGAGGCCGGGGCCTTCCCAGCCAGGTGAGTCCGCAGGGCAGTTGGCCCTTTCCGTGGCTTGGGGGTTGCACTTGGGGGGTTGTGAGTGCTGCTGGGCTGTGTGGGTTCAGCGGGGCTGTGCAAGATCCAAGCAGCAGCTGCTCAAATGCGCCTCATCGGCACTCCTGGACCCTTCCTCCACTCACTCCTCCGCAGCCCAGCGACAGAAGAGGCGGTGGGCTCCCTTAACCCCAGGGGAGGGGGGTCCTGGCTGGGCCTCGCTTGGGCTTGTTCCCAGAGAGGGGCTGGAGCAGGGCCCTTGCTCAGCCCAGGGAGGTCTGCGCAGTCTTATTTCCCGGAAGGCCCGCAAAGCTGATGGGTCTTTCTCGGCTCCTTACCTTGGATCGTGCGAACGCAGCCCCTCCACGAAGCCCAGGGCTGCCCGCGCATCCGCTCCACCACCCACAATGACTTTCTGGCGCTCCCCCCAGGAGGCCTGGGACCAGCATTCTGGGACCTGCAGCAGTCCTGCCAGCACCCCATCGCCCACTGGGCCACTGGGACCCTGCACACGCACCTTCAGAACCTCACCTACCAGGATGGGCAGCTGCAGGTGAGCCAGGCAGGCAAGTACTACGTCTACACCCAGATCTACTTCCGCTACCCCGCTGAGCATGCCAGTGCCCGCTCCCTGAGCCACCAGCTGGTGCAGTGCATCAATCTCCAGAGGACTTACGGGCAGACCATCCTCCTGCTGAAGGGCGTGGGCACCAAGTGCTGGACACAGGACGCGGCCTATGGGCTCCATGCCCTTTACCAGGGAGGCCTCTTTGACCTCAAAGCTGGCGACAGGCTCTTCGTGTCCGTCTCGTCGCTGGATGTCAACTACGACGACGAGGCGGGCAGCTATTTCGGAGCCTTCCGACTCGACGTGTGACGCTGGGGGACTGTTCCCCATTGGCACTCAGACAGGGAACCCCGGCTTTGGGGCCTCACGGTCCCCCGGGCAGAACCACTGGGGGATGCCTGTGCCGCATATCGCTGTTCCTTCTCCTGTTAGTGGTAGTGACCAAGCAGCCCTCAAAGACAAGGGGCAGGACCGGGGGGGTCTGCAGTCCTCCCGCTGGCAAAGTGAACGAGGCCTTCCGCAGACACAGGGAGGTTGCTGGAGCCCCTTCAGGAAAGCTCTTGGTTGCCGTGAGCCTCCGCTGCGCATCCTGGGGAGCAGCAGGCGAAAGGGAAGATGCCCCATGGTAGCCATGTCGCCAAAGCAGCCAGAAAGGCAAGGAAGCTGAGCTGGCCCCTGGCCTATCTGCTTCTGAGCTCTCCTGAGCGTGCTCCAGCGCCTTCTGCTGCGGACCCCTCTTCTGGTTAGCGATAGGCGACCATCTTCCCTTCCTTCGCCTGCCCTTTCTTCCACCCCTTCCAGCTGAAGAACGTGGGACTCCTCTTCCAAGTGCCCACGGAGGACCCAGCCAGTTCCTAACTGAGATGGATTCCTCGTGTGCAGAGCTAACCACTCGTGCGCCTTACAAGCAAGCTGAGCTGCTCCCGTGGCAGGAGCAAGGCCACAATACACAGCTTGCTGCTGGGGCAAGAATGTAGGTCAGCGTGTCGTCTGAGCAAGCAAACCTGCCACGGAGACACAGGCCCGCACCTCCCCAGTGCCTCGTCTGTGCAAGTCTTCTCACTGCACTCGCGCTGGGTGTGACCCTGAATGGCGTCTGGCATTTGCACTCAGCACGCCCTAGCCGAAGTTGGCTGACCTGGAGCAACAAGTCCCTGTGCCCACTTGGCGATGGGGGTGGCAGCCCAACCACACCTCCCGAGCCCTCTTGGGGGAAGACAGCTCTTCGGGCGCTTGGGTCCTTGGGCCACTTTGGTTAGGAATCTGGCTTTTCTGCTTGTGTGCAATTCAATTTCAGCAGGATTCCCCAGGCTGCATTCACCCAACATGATTAGGGTTATCTAGGCTATTTTTTTGTGGCTTAGCATTTTGCGTGACCCCTACTTGGTCAGCGTACGGTTCAGTGCACTGCATGCACCTCGACCAGGGATTAATTTAATAATCAGATGGTGTTGGGTGGAGGCTGCCATTAGGACTACTGAAAGGTTGGGGAAGGGCGACCACCGCAATGAGGTGCTCTGCCGCGCCCAGGGGCACAGCACAGGCAACCTCCTTGATTTCTAACAGGCACCAGCCCTTGACTCTGTCCCCGGCCACAGGGCCTCTTCCGACTCCTCTCAAAGCCCAGCCCCGACTCCTTCACTCGGCCACATGTCATTGTAGTGTGCTGTGTGAACACGGCCCATCTAGCCAGAAACTAGCACGACCTGATCCAACCCCACCTGTCTGGGAAGCTGAGTCCACGTGGCTCTTCCGGTTTGGCGAAGGGCAGCTGAGCCTGAAGTCCACTGGGGCCTCTGGAGCCCCGCACTCGGCCAGGCCCTGGGTACTTCCTCCCTTTGCTCTCGCCCGCCTGCCCAAATCTCCGCCCAGAGGAGGAAGACATCATCTCGCCCAAAAGCAGAAGGCAGGCCCCCGTGCAGCTGCTGCCCTTCCTCTGGACAGACCCAAGCCAGGTGGGTGCCCTGGGCCGGGCCGGGCCAAGCCAGCACATTATTCCTGCAGGCAGCAGACCGGGAGCAAGACGGGAGAATCACGGCAGGAGATTCCCCTAGTTGGCCCGCGATCATCCAGCCCCACTTGGGAAGGTGCAGAAAAACAAATGCCATAAAAGGAAAATGAGCAGCCGAACTCTATTCCCTTCTGCCTGCGTTCACACGGCTGGAGAACGTGCGAAGGGCTTTCTAGTCACAAAGCAGCAAGCCCAGAATTCATGGGTTTGGGACACCAAATATGGGCCACTTTGAGACCCAATGAATAGCTAAGGTCCAGATCTTCAGCCACTTGTACTGGGGGGAGGGGGGAGGGAAGGCTGCAGCCAAAACTGACCTCCCCAACCCACATACAGATCCCCACTTCCTCCCTCCCGTCCGTGGGGTTAGGCAAGAGCGACCCCTAAAGAAGCAACCACTGCCAATTCAGTTACATCCTTTCTTTTACTCTGGAGTCGACTCTCCTCCCCAATGCAGCTCCAAAACAATTCTATGATAAGTCTCTCCTTCCCAAGAGAAGATTAATTTCCACAGATTATATAGTGCAATTGGTTATCTTGTAGAAAAAAATAAAACATGATTATCGCTTGCTCCACATGGAGAAAACTGAAGACAGCTCTGGATTCTCAGTAAAAAGAGAAGCAAAACTCGAGGGTTCCATCCAGCCAAGTTCTGTGGGGCGGAGGAAAACCTCCTGGCCCCTCTTAGGCTTCAGTTGAACAATATAGAGTCTGGATCCTGGTTTGCCATTTGTGCTATGTGCTTTAATACATCCTTTTTGGTAATAATTCCTAGCAGCTTCCTGGAAAAAAAAAAGATAAACACTTGACCTAAGTGGAGAACAGGGCTCCATTTCTGCCTCAATGACCACATTCCTCCCTTCCCAAGTTCAGATTCAGCCACAACTGGGGCCTTTTAACACCCCCCGCCCCATGAGAGGAACAGCTATCCAGTTCCTACCAGATGGAGGGAGAGGCAAGTCATGGCAGCCCTATGGGCCCAGAAAAATATCCCCCCAGAAGGCCCCTGCTCCTTAGAGCCCCTTCCTGGCCCCTCGCATCAGGACAGAGCCTTAACTGGGACCTGGGCGAGGAAGCGCCTGTCCGAGTCTTTCAAATGTAGCATTTTGAAGAGCCACTAATCTGGACTCCCCCAAATTCCATGTCAGCTCTTCCAGGAGTGGAGAGAAGTTTGCTATCATACACATATCGTTTGTATATACAATATATTTTTTCATTATTGCCAATGAGTTGTCTTGTCTCGCTTTCTTGAAGTCCTAAAGCAACTCCAAAGAGATTCTCAAAACCAGGGAGAGACCAGGAAGGGCAAGGGCAGCTAAACCACTTCCACGTCCTTATTGGGTGGGCATCTGGGGTATTCTGCCCCATTGGGGAGAGCTACAGAATGGGGACGCTTCACCTCCAGCACTGTGGGAACCCAGAGGGGGCCATGCTGCAAAGCTACAGGACAGGGCTGGCACTGGACAACAGTGGGGCACGCAGGGACTCATGGTTTGTGATCATGCAGTCTATTTGCTGATCTGCCACCCCTACCTGTTACGACTCTGGGTGTACATCAGGCACTTTCACTACAAGTCAATGAATATGCCAGACACACATGGTTCTCCCATCACGCTAAGCCCAAACAAGCAAACCAACCGTGGTTTAGTGTGATGCAACAAGCTGTTCCCTATCGTGCAAGGGACAAAGCCCAGCAGAGGGGCCCTTCCCCTTCTCACCCGTTGTGTGTGACCAGGCACTGGCGTAGCCCAAGTTTTCGGAAAATGTCCACCACAATTTCCATGGGGGTTTGGTCTGTCACAGTGAATGGGCTGAGGTCAAGAATGCTGCGCAGCTTGAGCAGGGAGGGGGAGCAGGGAGGCAGCGGGGGGGAGTGGTCGGTGAAATAAATAATCGAGCTGCTGACAATCCCTTCTTGCTTCTTCCGGGCACTTTCTGCGGGGAGAAAGGGAGAGGATGAGAACTGATGAGGCCAGCCCACACCCTGCCTTCCTGGGTGTCCGGGAGACAGAAGCGACCCCACTCCAGGCATTTCCAGGGCACTTCTCGGCTCGCTCACCAATGGAGATGACGAGGTCTCGCCGGAGGACAAAGCCAACAAGGCGCTGCGACTCTCTCGACACCACGACAGGGTAGCCGCTGTAAGTGGTCTCGTTGATGATGGCCTCCACGTCCTCCACCGTCATGCTGTCCTGCGTGAGAACCGTCAAGGCGGGGTCGTTGCGCCGGGGCCTCATGACATCCATGGCCAGAGTCTTGTGGGTGAACTCTTCCTTGGCCTCCAGGAAGGGGTAGCCGTTCAGGCGGATGTGGGCATCATAGATGCCCTCCCGGCCAATGGCATCAGCCACCCATTTGCTGGTCATGGCAGCCGCCATCAGGGGCACAATGTACTCCAGCCCTCCTGTGAGTTCAAACATGATGACCACCAGGGAAACCGTCATGCGTGTCACTCCCCCTGCAACATCCAAATAGGCATGTGAGCAAGACGCTTGCCCTTTCTAAGGATCACCCTGGCATGTAATTTCAGCCTCCTGCTTTGTTTCAGAGGGCAGCCTCAGGATGGGCCAGGAAGAGCGGCAATAGCCCCACTGGTCCTGAATTCCCAGCCGTACTCCTTTATGAATATTTTTTCTTAAAGGAAGATTTTACAAAGATTGAAAAAACTACAAAAGCACAGAAGAAGAAATAGAAGAAGATTATAAAAGGGTAAAAGAAAAAGTGAAGAATAAGAAAAAAGCGAGAAAAAGGTACCTAAAGAAGCGACTTCCAATCTTCTTTGCAGCAGTTATAAACATAGCAATTACCATCTCCCATATTGCGTATCATGGTTCCCTTCTTCCCATAGACAAACTTTTTTCATCAATAAATCATGAAATCAGCAGTTCATTTTTATCCATTTTCAGCAAAAAATCTATAAAGGGTTTCCAGTAATTCCCCACTGTATTTCGATTAACAAAGATTTAACAGAGGGCGACCTGGGAGGGTGCCAGGGGGGGTCAGACCTTTCCCTACAGCCAGCAGCCAGATCTGGCCAAAGCACTTCTAGTTGATGTTTCTCAAAACTAAATTGATCAAAATCAGTAACGGGAAACAACTGGCATGCAGGTTCCTCGGCCCCTGAACGGCCCCTCCTGCAAACCCTCTTAACAGGAGCTCGGCTTCTGTATGAAAAGGAGCAAAGGGGTGGAGTTCGGTCAAGCAGCTCCTCAGCCTCCCCGGTTCCCTTCCTGTTTGCTCTCTGGCTGAACTCAACCGACAGCCAACAGTCACTCAGAAAAGCCTTTTTTAAAGCGCTCAGGAGTGTTTCGTTCCAGCACGGAAGAGCAGCTGTATCTGCGACATTCCTGTTCCCTCCACGTTCAAGCCAGTATCAAGAAGGCGGGCTTGAAAATGAGCCGGAAGCCACGTGTTCCCCATTCTCTGCCAGACCACGCTCAGCAGATCAGCCACTTCAAAGGGTTTATTCGGGGGCCAGGAGGGGGCGGACTGGTCGGTCTGGGACTCTGGGGCAGTTGGAAAAGCACCAAAGTTTGAGCTGGGCACGAACCCTGCTTGGCAGCTACTCACCCAGGCAGGCGGCAGCCCCCACCATTGCGTAGAGGCCGGGCGTAATGCAGTCGGCGCCCTGGCTGCACCAGCCCTTGAAGATGGGCCAGTCGTGATGGTAGTAGGCCAGCTGCTCCATGCCCACTCCCAGCAGCCGGCCTGCAATGGCCCCCACGGCCATGCTGGGGATGAAGAGGCCCGACGGCACCTGCAAGAGAAACCCCCTCAGTGCAGCCAGAGAAAGCTGGCGGAGAGCGGAACGGGCTGCCGCTTGGTCAGCTCCAATGGCAGGACTGACCTCAAGCTTCTGGGCCAGCGGGGGAAGACTGGTGCTCCTGGATATGATGCTCCACAGAGTCTTGCATGGAGATGGGCCCTGCAGAGCCTGGGGGGGCGGTCTGACAACTGCCACCTCCCTCTGCTCCTGTTCTGCCACCAGATCCAGCTACTCTTGTCTCAAGACATCAGAATATATCTCCAACCCCCAAGCCTTTGCACCCCAAAGCTTTGTGGCTCAGGAGGGAGACTGGGGCTGGGGCCCATGCCCCCCAACCGGCAGCCCCCTCCTGCCCTTCTCCAGAGAGCAAATCTCAGGCGATCTGCAGGACTCTTCCCACCTCACCTTCATGCCGAAGGTGAAGATGGTGATGAAGACCTTCAGAAGGAGGGCCAGCACCAACTGCCACATGGCCGTGCGGACGCCAGCGCCAGCGGCCCGGTCGGGCAGGTCATCCCCCTTGGTGCTGTTGGAGGCACTGAGGTAGTCGCAGAGCTGGGAGGCGTCCAGGAGGCTGCAGTCATTGAAGAGCTCCGAGATCAGCTCGCTGGTGCTCATGCGGGTGTACTCATTGGGGAAGGCCAGCAGGGCGGTGAGGCCAGTGACCACCATCACCTCCACCACCGGGTACCGGCCCAGCTGGCTGGTCTTGCGCCGCCTGCACCAGGCGATGTTACTGCGGATGAAGAAGGCCCCCCAGAGTCCCCCAAAGATGCCCAGCAGGATGAAAGGTGCCAGCTCCAGCAGGTGCCAGGGGCTGTGGAACTCCACGTAGAAGAGCACCAGGCGGCTGTTCCCAAAAGGGTTGATGGAGCGCAGGGTGAAGGCTGCCACCAGCGCAGCAAAAAAGGAGCGCCACAGGGTCTTGAGGGGAAAGTAGTAGCTCACCTAGGTCGAGGCAGAGAGGAGGGGCGGACTCAGCGGCCTGGCCCTGCTCGCCTGCAGCCCAAGGACTGCCATCCCCACAGCTGTTCTGGGCAACCAAAGCAGTGCGGGAGCAGGAGAGCCAAGGTGGAGAGCAAGCCCCAGGCCTCTTACCTCTTCCAGGCTGAACAGGACGCCACCGATGGGAGCGCCGAAGGCCACCGACACACCAGCGGCCGCAGCAGCTGATAGCACCTAGATGGAGGACAGCCGTCAGCAGCGCCCCTCGGGACAACACAGGCCACATGCAACCACCCATTTCTCTTTGCATCTCGGCTTTCTCGGCAGGAAGGGGCAGCCAGCTTGAGCCTGTGCCAGGCCTATGCCAAACAGCGAACTTGGCCCGAGCTTACCTCCCGGCGTTTGGCCTCGTTCTTCCTATACTTGGTGAAGAGGTGGCAAAGGATGTTGCCGCAGCAGCAGGCGACGTGGACCAGGGGACCCTCCTTGCCCAGGCTCAGGCCTGACGAAACGGCCAGCACCAGGGTGACGGTCTTGATGAGCAGCGTCCACTTGCCCAGGTAACCTCGGATGATGAAGCCACTGAGAATGGTTTTGATCTGAAAGGCAATCGAAGCTGCTGGAGGGGAGGTGCTGCCCGGCGGGGAGGAGAAGTGTTCGGCTGGGGGCCCATCAACTTCCATTGCTAACCCTGAGAGTGCAGAACCCCTCGGGAGAGCAGCACAGTCCCTGGGCGAGAGGGACATCATTGGGGCAGGACAGGAAGTGGGGGGGACGAAGAAGGCAAGTGCCCCAGAATGGTTCAGAGCCCCTGGCCCTGCCGTGCTGCAGCAAAAGCAGACCCTTCCTCACAGGGGAGCCAAGAACGGACTCACCTCTGGGATCCCTGAGCCACATGCGTATGGAGCAAAGCCCCGGACAAGCAACACGGCCAGGAAGGAGAAGAGCAATGCCCAGAGGACGTAGATGAAGTAGTTGAGGACATAGCCCAGGGCTCCCTACAGTGGTGAGAAGCGGGGGGCAGCCCGTGAGGCTCACTGGACTGCTCTGCAGGGCTGGCCTGTTACCTCGAGCAGCAGACAACCCTCCCACCCAGGAAGCCAGACCCGGATGCGCACCCCTTCCTCTCTGCCGGTCAGCAGCTGTGCCCAGGTCCTCCATTCCGGGCACTTGTCCCTGTCCTGGAAGGTTGTTTTGGACGAGCTCCAGCAGCAGTGCTCGTGGTTGTACCAGAAGCCGTTCAGGCAGACCCCCTCCTTCAGGTCCGTCATCCAGTGGGCGGTGATGTCGATCAGGCCGGCCAACGCCCCTGTGGTCAGAGATGACGTCATAACAAGGGGAGCGGCTCGACCAAGACCCCCCTTCTGCCCAGCAGCTCCGGCCCCTCACCTGCCGACAAGCCGATGAGCAGCATCAACAGCCATCCTGAGAAAGCGTCACTGACGCTGTGCACCAAGGCCCACGTGGACTCTTTGCTTTTACTGGCGATCTGGGGAGGGAGGAGGCATTTAGAGGCAGTCTTCTTCACCAGCCCCGTGCTGCATGGAGCTCTTTGCCCCAGCCCCTGGGACCAGAGCGCTCTGGAAATGACTGGAGAAAGGTCTCCTCCAAGGGGTCACGCTGACAGTGAGCAAGCCGCATTCTTCCTACGCACGCTGCGGCACTGAAGCCAGGAGAGACTGGGGGCGGCCTCCTTCCCTCCCTCCGGGCCTGCTTTCGGCCCAGCACATTCCTTGGACGCAGGCCAGGCCTCCGAAGCGTTTATGGTCACCGCCAGAGAGAGATCGACCTTTTCCCAGCTCTGATTCCAGGCCGCTCTGGGATTCAAAATACTGCTCCCGCTGAAACACAGACCTTTGCACAAAGCTGCAGAAGCCCCTTCCCCACCTACGGGGGCCCAAGGGCCGTGGCGTCGGCCCTCCCATTGGCAACAGGTCTACCCTGGAAGTCCCGACTGACCTCTCGGTGCCTGTCGCGGTCACGAGACTTTTCGCGCACCCAGTCAATGGTGTTGAAGTCTTCGTAAGTCCCCACGCCAGGGAGAGGCACCTCCAGGAAGTCCATCACCTGCCTCACCCCATTCATCCCACCTCCATTGTACGAGGAGAAACCTGCAGAGGATCATGAGACGCCACTTACCTCCCTGTCACCACAGGACAGAATGCAAAGTCCCAGGGGAACAAAGGCGCTTGATGAGAAGGTGGCTGGGCTGAGAGTTAATCTTTAAGCAGCTTCGGGAGGGAGGAAGGGGAGGGCCAATAAAACAGCTACAGAAAAACTCCAAGCGCCTGCCCAAACTTTGCTCGGAGCCAGACCAAGATCACCCTCCAGGGCAGGTTGTTAAAATAAGACCGGGCTGTTGACGGCCCTTTGTCCCAGAGGGGGCAACCAGCCACCCCGCCCCCACCGCCTTCCAACCTCCAGCTTTCCTTTCCGCTGGAGCCCACGGGCACCTGTAAGAAGCCATCCTGAGGGCTTCAAAGACGAGCCTCAGGATGTCCTCACGCAACAGACACGAGCACGTGATTTCCATCAGAGGCGGCAGGATGCCTCCCCATTTAGGCTCAGATATTTTCACTCCAGACGTCCGCCCCACTCCTTGCCGAAACTCACTCCTACGCTAGCGGGCAGGAAAAGATCATTTGGTGGGATGGACCCGTCATCTCTCCTTGCCTGGGACTGCTAGGAGCAGAAGACCTGTTCCTATGTCGAGTGGGATCAGGGCTCCAGTCAGCTCAACTCTGCCTACGTGGATTCCTCTAGAGGATCAACCCCAACAAGAAAGCTTCTGCCTGCAGCAGGCACCCAGCCACTGGGTTTTAGCTTCCAATGCATCCGGTTGAATTTTAGTCTGAAAGCTCACTCCTCCATCCTCTTAACATTAATCAGTCCAGCAGAAAGACTATCTCCATTTGTTCGGTAGAATCTATGGAAGAGTGTGGAGTCACCTGCTAGGGAAGCCAGAAGAGCCAGCGTAGCCTACGTCTTAGCAGCACTGGTCCAGGACTTCCCTCTTGATCTCTCTGTGTAATATTCTGGGTGGCTCTGGAGAACCTGCTGCTCTTTGGCGCACACATAAATACAACACCATTGTGGTTTGTGGTGAACAAAACTGTTGAGACACCTGGGGAAGTCACTCGTGCCAACCACACTGGTGTAATGGGCTGAACCTCTCCTGCGGGCGGTGATGATGCCATAAAGGTCACCCAATCTTCAAGCTGAAGAGGAGCTAAAAGGTTACCTAAGTCCCAGCATAGGTTCCTAATTAGGTGACCTCCTGAACTCTGCCTAAATATCTGTTCAAGAGAGTCTTTGTGACTGGAACCACTGGGTTTGCATCCCACCCCCTCCCAAAACATCAAGAAACCACCTGCTCTATCCTATGCGTGAGACGATCCTTCAGGCACATGCACAGCAATTCCCCAGGCTAAACCTGCATTAGCGCCTTCAAATTCTACCTCTCTCCTCCGGCTCTGCTCCGCTTGGTCAGCATTTGAAACAGGCCCACAAGGATTTCAAACTGCAATGCTCAGTTTCTCTTCTGCTCCAAACAACAGCTGTGACTTGTCTGACCCCAGAGCAGCTGCATGGCATCCGCGGAAAGCCCCCAAATGGAGAAGCAAATGAGGCATCGCCAGCGGGCTCCAAGTTACCTTCCACCATCTCTCTGTCCAGAGGAGGAACATCATCCGCCATGGAGAAATCCAGCATGCCCCCTGCGACCTCCACCATGTCTTCATCACTGCTGCTGCCCTGGAAACTCCCGTGCCGGAAGCCCTTATTATTCATGGCCAAAGGGCACCAGACCTGCGACGGGGGAAGCAGAGGTCACTTCTTCTTGCACCGTAACGGGTCGTAAGAACGTAAGCTGTGACCTGCTGGATCGGACCCCTGGCCCATCTCGTCCAGCAGCCTGTTCTCACAGTGGTCCACCAACTACACCAGGAAGCCCACTGGTCTCCCAGCAGATGGCCTTCAGAGGCAGTCCCACTGCCAGCAAGCGTAAGGGCCGCTGATCCCCAGGACTTCCATTAATTGGTCCAACCCTGGTTTAAAGCCAGCCAAGCTGAAAGCCAGCAAGTTGAATCACATGTTGCATTAAAAAATAAAAAAGTATATATCCTTCCATTTGTGCTGATTCTTCCAGGATTCAGTTTCATTGGGTGACCTCTGTTCTAGTATTTTGGGAAGGGGAAAATAGCTTCTCCTTGTCCACTTTATCCATACCATGCATAATTTTGTACACCTCCATCATGTCCCCTCTCATTCACCTCCTTTCTAGACTAAACATCCTACAATGTCACAACCTTTCCCCGGAGGGAAGTCGTCTTCCTCTGAACCTTCTCCAGCTCCGCTACATCCTTCTAGAGGTGCAGCACCCTTGTTTTCCCTTCCCTTCCCCTCTCTCTAGACCCCCCTCTCTCTCATGGCATCGCCCTGACCTGTTTCTGCAAAAGTAGGATGGGGAAAGATACCCTGAATCGTCAACACATCCGGGAGAGTGATTTAAAGTACAGTATTTAAGTTTGGGGAAGGCAATTTTATCAGCACATATGAAGTGTGCAGCTCTTTGGCCGTTTTTTCCAGCTTGTCTCAATGAGCTCTACGGGGAGCTTTCCAAGACAGAACACAAAGGCATCTCCACCAAAGCCCCCCAGCTCTTCAGTCACACGAACGGCACACCAAGGCGAGGGGAGAGGTCTTCCGCAGAGGAGACATGCAAGAGCATAAAGGCCCTTCCGTGTTTGGAGGCATTTAAAAGGAAACATCTTAGGGGAAGACGCGGGCCCGTGCCGAGAGGTTTCCTCGCTGACGAGAAGCAAAGAGCAAGGGCTGCTTTGCTACGACAGTGTGGTGCAGCCTCAAGACAAAGAATCGAAACATGAGGCAGGCTGCAAAACCAAACTCACTGGTCTGACTTGGGTTCTCTCGACCACCCAGCATGACATGTCCCCCCCCCCCCGGAAATACCTGTCCTCTGCAGCAGGGCCAAAGACTATGCAAGGCTGCCCCCGCGTGGTGGACTGCAGGCCCAGGGTCAAACGTGCAGCGGAGTGAGCGGGAAGCGGGAGCGTTCCCTATAATGCAACCCCCCCCCCGAAAGCCTGCTGTGAAGGGAGTTGGGCAGGCCGGCCACGTGAGCGGTAAGGCAAGGGAGAGACCTGGCGCCAGAGGATTGGCGTGTAGCGGCTTCCTAAAACTGCAGCCTTCTGCTATGGAGGATTATTAGAAACGCTTTGCCGAAGCTCACCAAGGAGACAAACATTCAGCCTATCAGAGACCCGACTGCAGTTATGACACAGGGAAACACAAAACAACCGGCCGTCGCGTCCGCGTCCCCAGGCCTGGCTGGACACCAGGTCCGCAGCACCAACTGGCACAGCAGCCCCTTTAGCCAAAGCACTCCGGCCGCAGGTCCGCTCGCAGGAAGAGTTTCAGACTCAGAAGGCGGCCAGGAGGGGAACTTTCCCCAGGAACAACTATTTCATCATAGCTGGGGGGGACATTGTCTTGGCTACTTATGAGGCATAAATAACGAAAGTCGCCTGCAACTGGGAGAGCTATCAGCACGCTTTACTTGTGGGGCTTATTGTCTCTGCAAGACCAGGAGGGGGGCAGAAGAGGCATGAGACGTGGGGGCATGGGCTCGGGGGGCAGAAGGGCTCAGAGCGACCCGCTCAAGTTCTCACCCACCTTCTGAGCAGCCACTTCAACAGCAAGGTGTGGCTGCAAGTGGGGATTCAATGCCCCGTCTTTCTGCCCCAGCCCCTCCAGGCTGGCAAGCAGGTTCAAAGCGAGTCCTGCTCCCTAGACCCATGCTCCATCACTCCCCGTAAAGCCACCACCATGTGGATTTATGGCGCAGGACACGGCTGGGCCAAGCAGTTCTGGAGCACAGCAGAAAAAGACCCATAATGCTCTGCCATGAAATCCAGTGAGGAGCCAGCCAGGAAGCTGCACCGGCCACGCAGGCCAGACAGATGTGGCTCTTCTCATCTTTTATCTTTTTGACACATCCTGACTTCCGGCACACGTGAAAAGAGCCCAACTCAGAAACCAAAACCGCTAGACGTCCAGCACCGAAACAGTTAAACGGTCCTTCAGCCCAGGCTGAAAGAGCACCGTGAAAAGCCCCCAGGCCCCTTCTGGAGAAAGCGAGCCTTTCCGAGGACTTCCTGTTTCTAGGAAAGGCAGGCTGCCTCCAGAAATACTGTCCAGAGAGGCTCCCCAGTTCCCAACGGGGACCTTCAGGCGGCAACGTGGCTCCTTCCCGGTGGAAGTGCCCCCTCTGCCCGAGTTGGTTCCAGACTCCCTGCTCTAACTTGCTGAGCTCTTAAGACAATAAATTCCTTTTAAAGGGCCAACTCACACCATTGCCTGGATCAGCAGTGACTTGGCAGCAGAACATGCAAACCTTTGCACTTCCAGTGCAATTTCACAACAGGAGTGTTCTACCAAAAGCATTTCATCGGAAGTGGTTCACTCACCGACCCACCCACTCAAACAGCTGCAGTGTTTCTGTAGCACTCATGTAAACAGGTTTTGAAACAGACAGAAATTATAAACCTACCTACCTACCCACCTTCCTACCTATTTATCTAGGGAACCTGAGCCTGAAAATCAGAATTTTTGCCGAGGACCCTTTTCAAGCTCAGGAGCTCTAGGACTTCATAGCAGATCAAAGTCCACTGCAATCAGTTGGTGCATCATAACCTCCCCCCTCCCCAAACACGTGTTGCAAGAATTCTTTTGTATGCTGGTCTATGACCATAATAAACATTGATTTGATCTGACCCTGCACAATTCACCCATATACTCCCTCAGGGGAGAGAGAGGTCCTCTTCAGCAACGCCCCCACCTGTAATCTCCCAAGCTGATGGTGCCTTTTCAAGTTCTCTTAGCTACTAACCCTTCACTGTGGGCTATGTCTTTATCCCCCCGACTGAGAGCATTTGGGCCCAAGTCAGGCAGAAGCATTTCTCTAGTCCCGGGAATCAGCAGTAGCAGCAGCAGAGGCTGGAACGGGTTCAAGGCGGCGTTGACATGCAGAGAGGCAACCAAAGAGGTCGAGCGAGCACAGAACTCACCCACGCCCCAGCTAAGCGGGCGTCTCCCCATGAACAGCGACCCTTTCAAAGGTGTTGTCTGATGTTGCCTGCTCCAGAGGGACCCTTTTAAAATGAGGCCAAGGAGGGGCAGCAGGACGGCAGACAGGCAGAGGTGGAGCTGAAAAGCAAATGCTCCTGTTGGGCCCAGAAGTCCCAGAGAGCCCAGATGATTCTCTCCTGCCCCCAGTTCCAGGGCCAATTTCCACACACTGGTCAGGACCTCCGAAGGAAAGACATTTGGTTTGGTTTGCAACATTGGTGGCTGGACAAGTCCTGGTGGGCTGGCATATCGTTCAGAATGACTGAAAACCGCAATGCAGATTTCAAAGTTTTTGGCCACACTGGACAGAACCTGCTCTGGGAGGCAGGAAGCCTCTGGAGAAAAGCTCATCAGGGTCTCTCTTCTGGCATGCTGGTGGCTGCCTTGCAACGGAAAAGCCTGTCCAAACCTTTCTTTGGTGGGATACGTGGACAAAGAGCCAAAGGAACGTTGCCAATCTGCCAGAATCTTATGGCAAGGTGCCAGATGTTGCTGTTTCAGTGCAAGACAAGAGAATGACACCACTAAAACCATCCCCACTATGGTCCCACCAGGAAAAGGCTTCCAACCTCAGGGCTCACTCAATCTACACCACCAGCTGCCCCACAGCATCCTAGAAGGGTCTTCACCAGGCTTATCCGAAAGTGCCGGGATCCTTAACACACTAAGTAGGTTTTCAACTGTCAAAAACAGTTCCCTTCTCAGTTACATTTTGCAAAGAGCTCCCTTTTTTCAAGGGAGAGATGCGGAGATGCTGCACTCCAAATCTGCCAAGACCAACGAGGAGTGATGAGACATCTCCCAAAGAGGTCCCAGGGACCTGAAAGATTGGGACAAGGAAGCCCACCCAGTGAACTCAGGGAAGCCATGCTCTTCAGGAGGGCTGCTCCCTGGAAGACCCCAAGGGCCCATGAATGTTGGCAACAACCTGTGGGCCTTTCCAGCTCTGCTGGTGCCATTAATCCCTCGCCCACCCTGTTCACATCCTGAGCACAAGAAACAGCATGGTGAGAGAGGAACGGGCGACTCCAGGAGAAGCTTGGCTGGTGGAAGCGCATCGGAGGCCACTAAGATGCTTCCGACTGATCAAAGAGACTGAGGCAAGCAAGTTGTGCGCAGGAGAAGCCAGGGGCCTATTTCTGTGCTGTGTGAGCCCCCAGCCAGCCATGCAGAACCAGGAGCGGGAAAAGAAGAGGTCTTCAGGCAGCTGCAGAGACCTTCTCTTGCTTGGTCAACCAACCCAGAGCAAGTAATCAGGAGCAAAAGTCACAGGTGCAAGCTCAGGAATCACAGGAGGGCACGGGCCATATCAAACTCTTGCTGTGAGTTACGGCTACAGGAATAGATGCTTAGGAACCCAGGGCATGTGGCAAAACATGGTGCCTATGAGCTTGGCTTAAAAATAACTGGCAGGGCACTCTGCTTCACAGCTTCTCCACCTGCTTTTCTGGGGTGGGGTGGGGGGTCTTTGCATGTACAAAGGAAGGCTGCTCAGCTGTGAAGACCAGTCTTGGCTTCCTCTCCTTAAAACTTCTCCGATCTCTCTAACCAAGTCCACCTAACCCATAACATACGTCACCATTATGGTCTAAGTACAGCCTCTGCATAGTGCCTGGATTCCGTTCCCACTAAATCCACATCAAAACCGCAGGTAATCTAAGATCACACGGCCACATAGGTCACCATGCTGACCATGTACAAACACTCTGGATTTGAACCCACAATCAGAGCAAAAACATCCAAGAGAAAAGCAGACATAAATCAACAGGGCCACGGCATACCCTGGCCCTGCAGAAAGGCCGGTTCCCATGGCCAGGGAACAGCAGCTAGGCCCTCGAATAGCTCAGATTTAAGCACACTCATGTCTGAAGAACAGTCAGCCTGAAGACTTTCCACAGAAAGGAGTGGTTTGGTTTTCAAGGAAGCAGCTGAGAAAGCAGAACAGAAAGATTGTGTTCCTGCAGAGGCAAACGAGCCCCAAGTGTGTTTTCCTTGAAAATGTCTGGCTACCTCCTCCACTGAAACCGGGAGAACCAACTTCCTTCCTCCGTGCTGAGCAAGGCCATATCTGCATTACAGCACATCCCCCATGAGTCAACAGGATCAGCCAAGGCTTTGCAACATTCATTTCACTTGCCCAAATATTTCTGAACGGAAGGTACAAATCACCTACATCTGCTCAGGGAGGTTTGACCTTCAACATCTCTGCGAAGGGCCCAGGAGACAGATTTCTCTACTCCATCTGGACCCCAGACCAGGCTTATAGGCTTCCCAGTCTATAAAGGCTAAGAAGAAAAATACACATGAACCATGCTGGGAAATCTTGAGTAATGAAGTCTGTGGAGAAAAGCGAATTCTCTGTTTGTGTGCAGGACGCCAATTAGGCCCCTCCATAGTCAGAGGTTGAACACGACCGCCCCACACCTGCTTATGTGCTTCCAGTGACAAACTGAGAACAGCTGCTGGAAGGGAGAAGGCGCCACAGTTCAGGGTCTGCTGCTCTTCCACTGTCCACGGCGGCCAAGGGGGATGCGGGACGGCCTGCATTCCGGAGCTGGGACCACAGTCTGGGCACCAGCAGGCCTCTGGGGTTTTCTGACCTTTTGGCTAATCAACGCCAGCACCACTTGGCAAACCGAGTAGTGGCCAAAGGGGTGGGGGCAGGAAGAGAGCGCTCCACAGCCCCAATCCCCCCTCCCATGGACTTTCAGGTGGACACCAGGGATCCCTTTCACTGCTAAGAGCGTAAGCGGGTCCTGCTGCTGGAATGACCCAAGTCACCTGGCCAGCGATTTGGGCCCACTCTGGCCAAGCTCCAGGAGGCCCATGAGCAAAGGCAGGGGAAAGATCCGCCTCCAGCCCATCTCTCCAGTAACTGACATCCAGAGGCTCTGATGACCCAAGTGGCCGTGAATTCCTCAAGCCGCTAGTAACACAGGAAGAGCAGCACTTGTTTGGTTCTTCTCGGATCTCTCCCAGTGAATCACTGTGGACAGCTCAATATTCCCAACTGCAAGAAGAAAAATCTCCCAGCAGGTCATTCCTATTTATAGCCACCTCATCTTTTTTTCTAAATTGGGAAGTGTCCCCAGCAGGGAAGATGTTCTTCATCACCTGGGCTGATCAGGGGCCCAACAATCCGGGGAATCACAAAACTGCCCATCGGTGCAGAAGCTCTGACGCTGGTCCTGGGATGGCAGCCCAGACCCCTGAGCTGGCGAGGGAATATCTGTACGCAGAATGCCAGCAGGTCCAAACAGGACTTGGGAAGACTCCCCTTGGCACACTCCCTCGCATTCATGGCACCTCCTCTTCAGTCACCTCTAAGGATTGTGGGTGGTCAGGTTCTGCCCAGGCCGTAGATGCACCGGAAAACAAAGCGCCCGGACCGGCCATTAGAGAGCTGGCCTCTTGCTCAGCGGAAGGCAGGAAACGAGCCGGGCTGCCCAGACTATCAAGTGACGGCAGATCACGAGCCAAAACGAAGCATTGCAGAGCAGCAACAGGCGGCCGAGGCATCGCCAACCTGCGGCTTCGCTCGGCGTTTTGGCACCTTGCAAGCTGCCAACGGGGATTCGGTGCCAGCCGTCAGGGCCAGCGGGAGAGAGCTGGGCGAGGCGCGTCGCGTCGCGGGTGACGCCGCGCTCCGCTGCCCCCCGCGAGGACCCGGCCCGGGCGCTCGAGGAGCTGGCCTGGCCCCAGGCTCCGGCCTCCCCGTCC